GTCACTGGTAGTGTCAGCTCATCTGTGCGACCACACAAGGAGTCCCACAACTACCTCAAAGTTAAACAGATCATTACAGGGCTCTAGAAATACTAATTATATGATTAAGTGTAATACAGCTGATATTAGCCGCCATATTGGTATTCACGGTTATAATTACCCTACCCAACTTTAGTACTGTAATGTGTATTCACTGTAGACTAATAGCTAACATTTGTAAGGGAATCACGCACTGTAAACAATCATTGAAGCGCTTTTGAGCTGGTTTATATTGTTAAAGTGCAGGCGTAATGATTCGCTTTGTTGAAGTGTAGGCGTACCGATTCCTTTTGTAGAAGTTAATATTCAATTGTAAGTGTACTACTAGTTCGTGTAGTTGATTTATCTATAAACCAACGAGTTCTTATGATTAATATCCAAAAAGCCAGTCAATGACAGGGACTACCCGTTAATTTACTTCAATGTCTGTTTTGATGTTCATGATATCCTTCATTTTGTTTTTGTGTCTCCTCAGTTCATGTTGCTCTCCTTTTGTATTGGTGTCTCCTCGTTTCAGGTTGTTCCCTTTTGTATTGGTGTCTCCTCGGTTCAGGTTGTTCTCCTTTTGTTTTGGTGTCTCCTCGGTTCATTTGTTCTCATTTTGTTTTGGTGTCCCCTCGGTTCATGTTGTTCTCCTTTTGTTTTGGTGTCTCCTCGGTTCATGTTGTTCTCCTTTTGTATTGGTGTCTCCTCGGTTCATGTTGTTCTCCTTTTGTATTGGTGTCTCCTCGGTTCAGATTGTTCTCTATTTGTTTTGGTGTCTCCTCGGTTCATGTTGTTCTTCTTTTGTATTGGTGTCTCCTCGGTTCATATTGTTCCCTTTTGTATTGGTGTCTCCTCGGTTCATGTTGTTCTCCTTTTGTATTGGTGTCTCCTCGGTTCATGTTGTTCTCCTTTTGTATTGGTGTCTCCTAGGTTCATGTTGTTCTCTATTTGTTTTGGTGTCTCCTCGGTTCATGTTGTTCTCCTTTTGTATTGGTGTATCCTCGGTTCATGTTGTTTTCCTTTTGCTTTGGTGTCTCATCGGTCCATGTTGTTCTCTATTTGTTTTGGTGTATCCTCGGTTCATGTTGTTTTCCTTTTGTTTCGGTGCCCCCTACGGCCTAGGTCTATGTTGTTCTCCTTTCAATTCGGCCCCAGATTTCCAATTTTGTTTCTGTGTGGATGGCCTTGTTCACGTATATTTCGTTACATTAACTTCAATCAACAAGTAGACAGTTTTGACGCTGAAACTTTCAGTAAGTGCGTCTATGTCGGTGCATTTACGTGACTTTGATTTAAAAGTGATGATATCATTTTTTTGTTCACAAGGTATCTTCTAATCGCACGTCACTGTAAACAACGTTAGGGAGTCAGTATTGACAAGTAACTGACTTATAACAATGCACGATCTTGTAAATCTAATAAGATATATAAATACATTTAGCAGAGATGACGACAAAGTAAATCAATTGTGTTAGTGAATTAAGAACAATGTCGCCTACTAAGGCCACACGTAATGTGTAATTTGTGTATGTGTACTTCTGTTGGTCACGAACCAGTTTACTTGGCCTGGCCTGAAGTCGGAAGTCAAGAGGATCGAGGGCTTTACACTTTAATACACTTGTTGTAAGTGGTCCTATCGGTGGCTGTCGACCCATTACAGAGTACGTGTTAGGTCTATAAACTGCCAGGTGTTAATAGACATATACAATCTTAAATCAGGTTCCGTTTTATATCAGCTTTGTTCAGAAAGATTTAAAACTGTTATTTTAGCGAGTCTTTGGCGAGATGATGTTTAAAGCGGGTTAGATTCATTGACCAAGACATATGAAATTTAAATGAACTCGCGATATTTTCCCCCGATTATGACGTCTTAAAAATCTCACCCAATCACAACAAAGTTAGATATGTAACATGTAAGATATGAATCAAATAATACCGCTCCTTTATTCATATTAATCTCGTCATCACTTCATTCATTCCCCAGAACTTCAGACATTACAGGTCGTGGCCAAACAGATTTTATGCATTTTCATGACAGGAAGGAGATTAGATTTTTTCNCCAGCTACGATATTTGACTGTACTTCACCATAATAAACTTTACTACTTTACTGTTTAAGATTTAACTTTCTTTTTCCCAGTAGTAACATACATGTTTGTATGGGATATGTGTCACCGTCGATACCCTGTGGGAGTCACCTGATGTCCATCGCTAGGATGTTTCACCGCGTCCAGAACTGTTGGTGACTTACAAGCTTTTTTCGGATTAGACAGGCGATATCCTGATGGGTGCCAGGCGTGGTAAAGGAATGCCTTTCCTTCCAGGTCACATTTTTATTTGTCTGCGGAATGATTATCCTTTTCATGTTGACTTGTACTAGTGTTGGCCAAAGGGAACTAACTCAATAAACCAAAACTGACAAAAAGTCGACTCAAACCTCATATACTGAAATGTATTGATTTTCAATACATTTACGAAAACACAAGTTCACCATTTTTTCTTTATATATTGAGTTAAGGAAATCCTCCCTTATAGAACATAAGTTTTTGTACTATCTTAGCGACAAAAATCCAGGGTTCGTCTACACTGTACGTCCGCCTGGGGTGGATACAGATTTTCATGAAAGGGGATGGGGCTAGATATTCATATAGTGATCAATGGAAAATATATGTTTGCAGTTTATTCATTTTAAAGGTAAAAATTCGGACTTGAAGCCATGCTCTCCACGTGGGAGGTCAGGGGCTGGCTGAAAATAGAATGCTTTTAGAGTGGATATTGAACGTACTTGCCATATTTTTGTTTTAAATACGCCAAATTCGGGCTAGATTTGGCTGGTCGGTGTCCTCTTATAAATATCAACGTTTATGACAGATTTATGATAACACAATCCACGTCTTCATCATACTTAACATAAAGCTATGTCTCTGTAGCTGTGACGCTACCCTTTCTAATGATGTCCCATACACCAGATCGGATGTCAGTGTCAGAATTGGTGTCTTCGGTTAGGGTGTACAGTATCAAAGGAGGACGACAGGTGGTGTTTATGTAACAACCTGACAATCTGAACCAATAATTATCGGCTGATAACTTCTTGTCGGGTCGTAATAGTTTACATTTTAACGCAAACAGTCCTCGTATAATTTGACAACATGGAATGTTTTCTTTGGAGAATTTATCATAATAAACCGTGGCGGAACAACAATGACATGACCGGTACACAGTGATAGACAACTTAATCATAGCCACACTAATCATATTCCGCCCTAATCCGTAAAGGTTTTCAGTAATGATGCCTCAGAAAATAAGACGGTGATTGACTAGTTGGTAGTATAGCTTTCATGTATGGGGTCTTACATCCGAAATGATGAGAGTGACCGATATGGTCAAATAATCACAAGCCAGCGTCCAACACAGGGGCCTGTCATTATTACAACAACAGGGTGTATGTGTGGACCTACACCGGTGTGTGGCAGTATTATTGGACGTTTTGGGGGGTTATCAATAACACTTGGTACCCCGTCCCAAATGTAAATCGGGGTATCAACTTTACAGATCATTGATATAAAACCCTGAAACATTAACACATCAAGATAGCTCCAAATATATACACCCTGATGTTGGTTATCGGGTCCCTGTGCAGTCTAGGCACACGGTTAATGTTCAACATTGTGTAGGGTTGCATTACCCAGGTAAAGGGTCCCACATCTGGTACAGGATATGCTGACCTTCCAAAAAATTGGTTCCGTTTTTCGTTTTAGTGATTTTTTAAAATGTATTTTGGAATTTATGAAGACATTTTTTTTGTAAAATGTTGCTTTTTTCTGCTTTTCGTGAAATGCTGAATTTCCTTTGTTTTTTCAGAAAACCTGTCTTTCATTGTTTGGTTGTCATACTGACTTTCGATTCCAATTTTATCATTATGTTGACACTGTGGTACTTTTGTAGACAATCATAATTGGCTAATGAACAATAACAAAAAAGGTTTTTTTTTCGGTGTCATTATGCACTAGGATTCTGTAGTTCTTTATGTTAAAATGTAGATATTAAGTACCTCAACTCATTCACCCCTTAAATTTCATAATGAACTATACCAACCTTTGAATTGGAAGAGTTCAAATGTGTCTTCAGGGGTGAATGAGTTAATTAATTTGAATTAACACTCTACTTATTGACCTATGTACCGTCCATTGGTTTATTAGACACTCTGATGACTACTCTGCCCTTGTGCTACTGTATTGGTCCTTTGGGGACTGTCCTTGTATATTGACATTGTCCTATACTGGTAATGTAAATTGACATGAAATATACCTTGGTTACAACACTTGGTTAGAGCACATGTACCGTTCATTTACACAATATTGAATCCTTTTGGTTCAGGGCTACTACACACCAAAACTTTTCAAAATCCCTTCAACCATCAGCATACTTGCATACTTATAGCAGGGAAATTTCCATGAGGGAGATTCTGCATACTTAAAATTAAAAGATAAATAAAATGCGTGTATATACCCCTAGTGACAATATAATCCTTTAAAAAATTACATATTTTGAGTTGCTCTTTTAGATGAAATCATTACATCTTAGAATTTAGGAATAGTTTAGCAAATTCACTAGTTGAAATGCTAAATTTAAGGGTCCAAAATCGGGAGTCTCCCTCCTAAATAGGGAGAGTTGGCAAGTATGCACCAGGTGTGTATCTGATTTCTGGCAATTTTGAGTCTCAGGCCATAGCTGTGAAGGCAGGGGTTGGGAGTTGGTACCAGGTAAGGGGAACTCTCCAGTATATTTTGTTTTGCTTTCTAGAATTCTAAGGGGTGATGTCCAGTGTTCTGATAGCTAGTTTCTCACAATTCAAGATACCAATCAACTTTACTTCCCGACCAATTTGACCTGTGAATTCATTCTCTGATAAGGTGTATGCAGTAACTGTTGTACCTGGCCGGTTGTCACACAATAAATTCAAAATCAAATGTTTCAGTCAACAGTTTTATTTCTGATGAATGATATTAGCCAATAGCTTAAACACAATACAATTTCCTCTCCGTCATCTCTCACACAATCATTCTAGCAATACATTTACACATACAACAGGTCAATCAAGCACGCCGGAGGAATTTGATTACCGACTGTAACAGGTCCACAAATCTGTTTATCCCATGATCTGTTTCACGACCGTAACGGGTCCACCAATCTGTTTATCCCATGATCTGATTCATGACCGTAACGAGTCCACAAATCTGTTTATCCCATGATCTGTTTCACGACCGTAACGGGTCCACCAATCTGTTTATCCCATGATCTGTTTCACGACTGTAACAGGTCCACAAATCTGTTTACCCCATGATCTGTTTCACGACCGTAACAGGACCACAAATCTGTTTATCCCATGATCTGTTTCACGACCGTAACAGGACCACAAATCTGTTTATCCCATGATCTGTTTCACGACAGTAACAGGTCCACCAATCTGTTTATCCCATGATCTGTTTCACGACCGTAACGGGTCCCCCAATCTGTTTACCCCATGATCGGTTTCACGACCGTAACAGGTCCACCAATCTGTTTATCCCATGATCTGTTTCACGACAGTAACAGGTCCACCAATCTGTTTATCCCATGATCTGTTTCCCGACCGTAACGAGTCCACAAATCTGTTTATCCCATGATCTGTTTCACAAAATCTGTATGATTTATCTATGGGCCACAATCCGTGACCTTTGACCTGATTGGACTGAAACAATTGACCAACAGTATTCTACTGAAGTCGTTCAATGGAAACTTTTGATAACTCTGGAGTCTTGCTGAAAAGATTCTGTTTCACGACACAAATAATGTATAATACATGAAATTCTTACCATGATTTAATCATTTTGGATCTGTGCATTGGTTAGGAAGACACTTAAGCCAACGGGACATTTTCAAGTTATTTCTCAGCAAAATTTATAATTCCAAATGGCCATAGCATAGAACACTTGCAAATTTTTAATGGGCTATTATCTTTTTGCTGAAAGCCACTTTAAACCGGGTCTCCTATAGTTATAACATTGATGTATGCAATTCTGTACTGTTAATATTCAGAGAAAAGCCTTTTATATAATAGAAGTATAGCTGACGTTATTAAACCGTTCACCCCTGAAGTCACATTTGAACCTTACCAAATCATAGACTGGGTAAGTCCAAGTGAAATATGTAGGGCTGAATGAGTTAAAATATATGTTAATCACTTCGAACAGACTCACAATACAAGATCCAAAAGCATGCGGATATACCACTTCACGTCTGTTTTAAGTTTGAAATATTCCTGTGCATCACAATCCATCGTCGATCAACATCTGCAGCTTCTGTTCAAAGATGTCACTGGATCTCCTGTACAGCACTATTTCTTCCTGGAGTTTTGTCAGCTTGTCTGACACACCACCGACCGCAACACTGGTCAAAGCTGATTGGTCAGCGGTGGAAGTATCCAGGAGCTTAAAGTCAGACACCCTGGACAGTTCAGATGAACTGTATCGTCGGGGAGTGATGCAGTCTGCGAACAAAGATGGCTCTATTCCAGACGCATCCATGAATTCTGGGGGTGTCGTACAATTGGGACTAAAAAACAACGGACTATTTCTGTCAAATGTTTGGTCTGCACTCTCTGTGTCACAATCATTTAAAACCTTTTGTAGATACCGATCAAATTTCTGTGATTCACGACGTTCTGCTTTCACAGATTCAAGCAGACGGCGTGTGTCCTCCTTGGCTGCCATTTCTTCCTGTGACAAAGGCTCAAGGTCAATATCTGCACAAGTTGAGGAGGTTACGAGAGACTCCTGAATTCTGTCCTGTGTCCTACTCTGCTCTAACCTAGCCTCCCGAGCTTTCTCTACGGCAGTCTGTACAGTGTTGTTCAGGGAAGGTAGACCTGTCAAACAATATGTTACTGTTATATTATGTATTTGTAAACTAGTTTTGTAAAACAGTGATATGATGACAAAGATTTCACTTTTTTTATTTGTCTGTCAAAGTGCTGTACCAAGAAATCATAGGAAGAGAATAAAAACACAGGCCCCCAGACAATTGTTATATACTGTATACCGGGAAAACTATCGCCAAGTCAAATATTCACCCTTTGCTGAAAAAATCCATGTTCTCCTAGCGTTAATTTCGCCCTTCACATGTAATTACCACATAGTGTATGTTGTGTACTAATAATCGCTGTAACGATAAATTCATCCTCATTTGGGAGCCAAAAAAGGCGAAAGTTAAGATGCGGCGAAAAGTTCCTGGTATACAGTGCTTGTTCTATTATGATGAAATCAGATCAGTTTTCCCTACTTTAACCCTCCCCTGTATTGTACAGCCGGATCGCATTGATATAAATTTCACTGAATACAGTCAATATTACAACTGTGACATTTATATAGCGTCAAATGCAAGAACTAAAAGTCACAGGTCTTCATCAATACATATCACAATGTTACAATATATACCCCTGAGTTGTATTCATTTATATTGATTACTACAGAAGGCAATGGCAGATTATTTACAAACTCTAGGCATATCTTCTGGAAATCCACAAATGACATGTCATCAAGAGGTACATAAAAACTCACAACATATTTCACATAAATATATAAAGAAGCAAGTTCTACATTCATCATAACATGTACATGAACAATGCTTATATATTTTATAAATTAATACTAATTCATGCATAAAAAGACAGATTTACAGTTTTTTCACAAAATCAGCTTTATCATGAGATGTAAAATCTAAAAAGGTTCAAATGACAAAACTATTAAGTTTTCAGACATTCATTTAGACATCAAATTAATATATGTAGTTGTGATCTTGTGTATATGTTATTGTAGAATTCACTTACCTGTGATGTCTCGATGACTCTCCAGGTAAGTCCAGGTATCGGGAGGTTTGTAGGACTTCAAGTGGTCCTCAAAGTACACCACTTTCAGTTCCTTGTCTTCTTCCTGTAAAACCGAGATTTCCACTATGCAAAAATTTGTTAACAAGTCTAAAACTCTCTTACATACCTATTTAATCTTTAATCTCACTACATTGACACATTACAGTGATTCCATTGTGAGAAGAATCTGTGCCAAGATACTACCTGTGTAAGAGATCACTTTTTGGTTTCAATGAAGGTGGTCCTTTATTTCATGTTTGACTGTAGAAGACATATGATATGGAATATTGAACATAGTTTTATGCATATGGATGTTTGTTGAGGTCAATATGTGGTTATATAGACCTGAGAAAGTGATATTGACCGATATGAGGTGAAGGTTGATGTCACTTTTCAGGTCTATATAACAATACATTCACAGAAATGAAAGTCCTTACCGGGTAATTGCAATAACTAACAATACTACAAACTGGCAATATTAGCATAAGTATATTTTTTTGATGAAAAGGTATAACATTGCAACTTGAATGTTAAAATTCTCAACAATTTCTGCTCTGGACAAGGAGAGCTAATCCATAATACTTCACATCAGTACTGCAATTGGATATTAAGAGCAGAAAATGAACTAGAAAATAGATATACAAAGCCTTTTTGTAAAAAAGCTGTTATAAAATAACATGAATACAGTGACCTCTGTTCTGAGGACAGTCTGAACACAGGAAGCTTTGTCCTGTGGACTGAGACTTACCTCAGTGTCCTCCATCTGTGGGTCTGTAAAACTAACGGATGCCATTCTATATTCTATACAGGCCGTGATCAAGTCTGTCCAGGGCACATTCTCAAAGCTCGGCTCACAACGATTCTCCCCTTCCATAAGGTAACAGGTGTCCTCGAAGTCTCGTCGTACTGTCTTCAGCAGCAGACGTATTCTGTTAAGAGGTCAAAGGTCAATGTGAAACACTCTTTTATGGCATATCAACGAAATCGAATAATTATTGAAAAAACTTAAAAGGATACAAAACCACTGCTTTATTTACTAAGTAGATCTTTAAAAAACTCTTAACTTACTTGGAAACAAGATCCACCTTGGCTGACCCTTGGTCATCTCCAGCCACACTTCGGACAAAGGCCCAAATCTCATCACACACCTCGGACCAGTCTGTATTCTCCAGGTCAATGTCCTGTAACCATGGTAATTCCATTTCGTGGACAATGCCACTCAGATACTCCAAGTGATCCTCGTCATTCCAGTAGGGTGTGGGCAGCCCTGAAATATCACAATACAACATTTAAGGGTATGTAACATCTTACCCAATATACCTGTGATTTGTCTTTAGAGTTTTCTTTTTTTAAACAAATGTTGAAATAAGCATCATCTGATAATTAGAATGTACCTGTCATTAATTGTTGTGTACCTTTTAAATGATTGTGTCAACAATTATTTTTACAAGTCAAAGTTTGCATTCATAAAATGTATTTGATAGGTTCCTTAATAGTGTGTTACATTTTTCTTATGAAAAATATGCATAATATAAAATGCAAAATGTTTGCCTAATCTGAAATCCTATGGGACATACAGAACGGTAAAATTATCAGAGAAAAACAGCGATGACCGAAATTGTCCCGGCATTTAATATCAGTAAATATGGAAATCATTGTTCAAATTAAATTCCATGGATATTTCATTACTTTTACTATCATTCAACAGTTTTCAGATCTAAATCATTTTCAAGAACTTGACTCGTAAACCAAGACAAAATATATGCATTGTTCTGACCTTCTGCAGCGTTTGTACGGCAGAACTCTGGGACTGGCCAGGAGAGGTCAAGTAGTCTAGGGGAGGTAACTACTGCCTCCAGGTGTTGAATGACAGCGTTATACAATGACAGCAGGTCGCTGGGCCTCTGTAACAAAATGATGGGCATATATGTTTGTCAGAAAATTAGTCACTTCAATGCTTTGAATGAATCCCCCTTTTCATGACAAAATCATATAAAACTGCCACATAAATTATACACATGAATAATTACTGGAAACTGTATTTCACTGCAATGAATGATTTGTTACAAGACTCATTAATTAAAATAAAATACATGGGTTGTACTGCTTACAGCCATTGATTTCCCTCTGTTTTAAGTAGTTACCTGGTGTAAGCACCCATTGACCTTTCTCTGTTTTAAGCAGTTACCTGGTGTAAGCACCCGTTGACCTTCCTCTATTTTAAGTAGTTACCAGGTGTAAGCACCTGTTGACCTCTCTCTGTTTAAAGCAGTTACCTGGTGTAAGCACCTGTTGACCTTCCTCTGTTTTAATTAGTTACCTGGTGTAAGCACCCGTTGACCTTTCTGTTTTAAGTAGTTACCTGGTGTAAGCACCCGTTGTCCTTTCTCTGTTTAATTAGTTACCTGGTGTAAGCACCTGTTGACCTTTCTCTGTTTTAATTAGTTACCTGGTGTAAGCACCCGTTGACCTTCCTCTGTTTTAAGCATTGACCTTCCTCTGTTTTAAGCAGTTACCTGGTGTAAGCACCTGTTTACCGTCCTCTGTTTTAAGAAGTTACCTGGTGTAAGCACCCGTTGACCTTCCTCTGTTTAAAGTAGTTACCTGGTGTAAGCACCTGTTGACCTTCCTCTGTTTTAAGTAGTTACCTGGTGTAAGCACCTGTTGACCGTCCTCTGTTTTAAGAAGTTACCTGGTATAAGCACCCGTTGACCTTCCTCTGTTTTAAGCGTTGATCTTCCTCTGTTTTAAGCAGTTACCTGGTGTAAGCACCTGTTGACCCTCCTCTGTTTTACTTAGTTACCTGGTGTAAGCACCCGTTGCCCTTCCTCTGTTTTAAGCAGTTACCTGGTGTAAGCACCCGTTGCCCTTTCTGTTTTAAGTAGTTCCCTGGTGTAAGCACCTGTTGACCTTTCTGTTTTAAGTAGTTACCTGGTGTAAGCACCCGTTGACCTTCCTCTGTTTGAGGTTGTAGAAGACAGGTGAGTAGAAGTGCTTGTGTAGGTTGGTGTCGATGTAGTCCCGTATGTAGGTCACACACAGTTGAGGTGTGTTGGGGTATTCCTCACCCAGCCACTGTACTGCCTCCCCAAGCTGAGTGGGGAAAAATATAGAAAATCATACACAAAGGTGCTAATATTTGCGTAAACGGGAAATCTTAACATAAAAACCCTCGTACCACTGCCAAAAATTGTAACTATGCACTTCAAACCGATTTTGCTGACATGACCATATAAATATGAATCAATTCTCAAAAGAAAATTGTACTTTGCGGGACTTTTATGAAAAATAATAGAGATAAAATAAATATATTATAATCAACAACAGTGTTCTGTGTGTAAAAGAAAGTGTGGCTAGACAGGGGGCTGAACCCCTGACTCAGATTATTACAGTCCTTCTAACCTACTGAGCTACCTGGTCAACAAAAGTGTTCCGGCCCAGCTTTGCTACAGTTGTATACAAAACGATATTATAGGGAAGTAACTTTATATAGGAAAAACCATAGCACAGTAGGACAAGGGTCCTTAATGAAATGACCAGTTTCTAAGAAAAGGTCAAATATTTTTTTCTCACTGATCTTATTCAACAGAAACTCTAGAGGGTAGTTGAAGACTTTCATGTAATATTTCTTACCTCTGAAGATAATGACAAACTGTCAAGGTCAAAACCCAGTTCAAGGTCGTCCCTGTAATCTATGTCCAGTATGTAGACATTGGACACTTTGTCCAGACTTAGGTAGTGGTCCATGATGTTCTGCCTGACCAGATCGTCGGTAACCATGGACTGATCACATGACACTGGACACAGGATGACCAGAGATACTGCCGGGTCAGAGGGCTTCATCTGGAGTAAACCATCCAGCCTCTGACGCACTCTCCTCCAATAGGTCTGTAGTTAACAGGAAGATCAAACACAAGGTCAAATGTAAGGTCATAAGGTCAAACACAAGGTCAAATGTAAAGTTTAAATATCAAGGCTAAATTATTAGGTGAAAGAGTTTTGCTAAATTGGATGCAAATAATGCTCATAAATAATATCTGGGAACAAAAACCAGTATTCGCCATCATTCATACCCAGAAATAGCACCAGGATGACCCCATCAATTGTCTGTCCCCTTCCTAGTATTTCTTAAATCAGCAATAGCCTCTATGCCCAGAAGTAGGACTAGCATGAAACAGATGACCCAAATCAGGTCCCGTCCATCATGTTCACACAAACAGAATCATTAACCCTGCTCGGGACTAGGCTAGGATGAACACCTTCATTCCATTCAGACCCTATTCCTTATGTATAGAGTTAAGACTATCCTAGGAGGAGGGCCAGGACAACAGTGTGACCCAAAAGGTTCCTTATCCCCCATTCCCTGTTCTAACAGAATCATCCATGTCCAGTAACCTTCTGACCCCCTATCAGGTCCCATCCCTTGTATATACTTAGTCAGGACTATACGCCCCGAGGTAGGGCCATAATGAAGCCATTGACCCTCATTTGTTTACCTCCCTTGTACTTACAGAATCAGGACTATCCTCCATGCCCAGGGGTAGTGTCAGGATGATCCCACTAACCCCCATCAGGTCCTCCACGCCCCGTCTGCCCCTCCTGGGTCGAGGCCCCTGGATGGCTCTCACACAGACACACAGCTTACACTGTGATTTGTCATCATCCTGGACCAGGTCTGCCTTGTACAGACTCAGCACTTCCTCCTGACCACAGATACACAGTGTATTGGATAAAAAGGATTAATGGTGTGTTTTTTTTGCAATTTCTTTTTATGATTTACCTAAAACTTTTCTGTATGCCTTATTTAGGGAAAATTACTGTGAAACAAAAATCAATTTTGACATCAACCTTTCTCTCTGATGACACAGGATTATTCTGCCTCGAATAAGACAAAAGTTGTTTGAACTTTTTTCATATTTCAGCCACTCACCTGACCTCTGGCCTTTGAACTTTTGGAGAACTTTGACCTTAGCCAGGTATTGAGGTGACCAGTTGCATTTTTATCCTCCTCTGTATCACACATGTCCGGGTCTGGGAGGGACAGTGCCAGCTTCCAATAGATAGAGGTGGGAAGCTTACCTGTAATTACAGACACACCTGCCGGTATAGCTCAGTACTATAAAGCTGCTAATTTAATGAGGTTTTTATTTTTGTTACTACTTTAGAGGTGGGTGTTGAATCACCAATAATTTCAATTTTTATAAATGAATTTGAGAGATCTTTGTGCTTTTCTCAAATTTAAACGGTATTCACGTTTTTTTGACCTGTGCATGCCATTGAGGGTCAGAGTGTCAAAGGGCATGTAACTAACATTTATTACCAATATGACGTGATCTGAAGACAATCTATCTTTAATATCAAATTCACACTTGACAAACAGTTGTTATCTGTATGTAATATATAACTCCTATAAAAGCAAAAACACAATTTCTCTATGTCTCAAAGCAACCTCTTTTGGCAAATTCCCAGATTGATTTGTGAATGGGAAGCTGAAATTCATTGCAGAACATCACTATCATGGCTTCAATAATTATGAACCTTTCTCTTGGGACTGTTTATTTAGGTCTGAGCATTACATAAGAGTTTCCAGTTTTACCTTTGAGTTTTCTTTGCAGGATTCTCTTTACATTTCCTCCAACGAGCTTAACAATATCAAAAGGCTGCCAAGCTTTACAGTGACAAAGATTCTGGTACAATTCATGGGCAGAGAGAAGCTTTGCACCAACCCATCTTTGATCAGACAGCTGTATGGAGGATGCCAGTGATAGCCTGGCGTCAGCACTAATGGAGAAACTGTTGGCTATGATTCCATCCTCTCTCCTGTCTGGGATAAGCATGTCTATTTGTTCTGCTGCTGTGTCCAAGCCGGGAGCTGACGGGAAGGTTAGCATTCCACGTTTGAGTTTCTGTCGAGCAGAGAATTCCTTTTTCCACACCTGTAGGTACCTGCCAGCTATTCTGAGCTGGACACACTTCTCAATGTCTGCGAGTTTCTCCAGTCTTTCTACCACGTCTTTCTGATAGACATCAGATGACACAGATTGTACAAGCTCTCCCATCACATCCTCTAGCAGTTCGTCACCAACGTCTACAGAACAACGTGCTTTCTGCTGCTCCTTCAGCTCAGCCTTCACCTCTCTGAGGGTTAAAACAGTATATTTGTTGTCAGCAAAATACTAAATAAAACTTATTATTAAGTTTCCAATCACATCTGATAATAATCAATAAAGTAACCATACCCTTTTGAAAATATCACTGAACATTATTAATATGGGTAACGAACTTGATGTGACATTCATTGACCTGGAATTCAGCATGATACCTACCTGTCCTTGGCAGTAATATACATAATGACCTTGACCTTACTGGAATCAGCATGATACCTACCTGTCCTTGGCAGTAACATACATAATGACCTTGACCTTACTGGAATCAGCATGATACCTACCTGTCCTTGGCAGCAACATACATAATGACCTTGACCTTACTGGAATCAGCATGTTACCTACCTGACCTTGGCGGTGGCAAGGTTGAGCAGCTCCTGATTGGTCACGTCCTTGATGACCTCAGAGACAAGTGTGGCCATGGCCCTCTTTAATGTGGCCTCCCGTTCCTGTTTGAACTGACGCTGACGCAACACTTGGATCTCATTGTAGTAAGCTATGGACAGGGCACTGCAAATATTGTATCACATAGATTAAAGTCTCTGTCTACCGGTGAAAATTTGTTACCTTAACTCTGACCTTTTTGTGTAAAGTTATATACATATCATTTTTTGATGAATGTTTGAAATTTGTAAAGTCAGAAATTATAAAATTTAATGTAAATAGACTGCACTTGGTGATAGTTGATACAGCTCCAGTATTATTGATACTCGATCAGCGATGTTTATGTTTGAGTTTTGAAAATTTATCTAGAGGAAGGACAGAATAATTTACAAAACAAATTTAATTGGCAACAGCTAAACAAGAAATGCATGGAAGGTGATGTGTTGTCTGTGTCTGATTAAGAAATCTAATACATCTGTATTATTTATCGGGCCACAAGCCTTATTAATTATTTGCAAATTTGACAGGGCATTAAACCTGAGCTAAGACATAGGTAGTATGTATAAATTCGGCACATTATTTCTATAATTTCTTCAAAAGATATCATCCAACTATCAGTCAATAAAATTGCAGCAGCCTTATTCAGTGTTTGTGAATTTGACCAATCATCAAATATTGTCTGGAAACAAATCTGTACGCCAACAAATTATCCCGATGCGTTGTTGGCTAAGCTTAAGTTATTTAGATACGTTTGATCTTTAGGCCAAACAAATTTGATTAAAGATAAGGATTGATATACAGGCAAGCGTTAAAATGATTATGACTTGTGTACAAATGGCGCTCCTTCCGGTATAAATAAGGAATGGAGGGTTGGAGATTCTCATCTGGAACATCGTGGGGGGATTTTCGGAGGCTTGCTCTATGACGCAACTATAAAAAGACAAGGTAATGCCCACAATGAACGATTTTGAAAAGAAATTGGCCTGAGAACTAGGTAATTAATTTTATTTGGCCTTACTTCACATTTTCCTGAACAACCTCCTCCACTAGAGAGTGTACAACGGCGTGACTTTGGTCCAGGTAGGTCTTTACTTCACTGGTCACCTCACAGGACACCTGACCACAGAATTCGTCAATGACCTCCCAGAACAGCAGCTTGGCACATTCCTTCACCTCCTAAACACAAGAAACCAAATCTGCTGCTCATCAATTCGTTGATTTAACATTCAACCCCAGGGTCCCATAAAAAATCCTTAATCTGAAGAAAGCAATGAGTGGTACCCAATATTACCAGTAGGACCCATCTAATCAGGTTTATAGCTGACCGCACAGTATACATAGATTACTATTGTGGCAGATTTTAATTGTACATATTAGGATTAAGGTTGCCTTCCAGCTTAGAGCTAGAAGGAATTTCTCTTAAGCTCAGTGGTAGAGTGTCTGACTAGGAACCTGAACCTGGAGATCAAGGGTTCCATCCCCGCTGGAAGCACACCATTCTCTTTCCTGTTACACATAGATTAAGTACTTACCATGTGGTTTTTACAATTAATCACTTTAAATGGTACATATTAGAGATACATGTTTAGGAAAAGGATTCTAATTTACTTTGATCAAAGATATTCAAAGATCAAGTTTATGTTGTCCAGCTGAATGTTGCTGCTAAGATGTATTATGATATTTTATAATTGATCCTGTAGTGTATTTTGAACGCACAACATTACTACTTTCTGACACCTTACTTATGATTACAGATATATTAAAACACGATTTCAATAAAAAAAAAATGTAAGTGAAAGAGAACTAATTTTTCCAGTTCTGTGTTTTTGTTTTGATCCTGTTATTGTATTTTATATTTACCGTGTTGGTGACTTTCATCGGTTGTGGTTGAGGAGGTGGTACTACTACTGGTACTGGCTGGGAGGGGGCTTCTACCCTGATCACGGGCCTGCTTTGGCTTGGACCTGGGTAAGGGGGTGGGGCCCCAGCTGGTGTGGAATCGACCTCTGTCGTCAATGTCGAGGCACTAGGAAAGTCTACTATATCTGAAACATAAATTCATGTGCAAACATAACCACCTATTGATTCATTTATGGTCAATTGAAACCAAAAGCAATTCTTACCAATTAGTTAACGTTACATGGGTCCAGACCTTCAACCTTGTGATCTGTTGTACAATCCCATCAGGTCTCATTTTACTCTCATACAGCTAAAGCAGGATTAGCCATCTAAATTCTGGTGAGCAACAATTCAATGCCGAATTCAAACTCTCTCTCTGTAAGAACTGATATTGCCTGAAGTCTGACTAAATAAACTATGACATAATGTGTCCTTGGAAATTCACACTGCTGTGAGAAGTTGTAGCTGATGTTGATCTTTGACTCGAGGTATGACCTTAAATTCTGCCCTTGTGAACCCATTCGAATAAATCTGATCATTGGCAAATAAGATAATGATATAATCTTCATCATAAATCTCCAATGTTTACCGAAGTTAAGATATTACTTTCAAAGACTTATATTGATTACATTAACAGATGGAGTTTGAGTACTACATGTCAAAACCTGCTTCCAATAAATCTTAATTGACCTACAATGGTGAAATGCTAGACGTCCAGTCTAATACGATAACTTACCTTGGATGTTCAGCCATTTAGTAGTTATGGCTCCTTCGAGGAGATGGGGGTGGAGGGATGGACATGGTTCAATTTGATATTCCGTCTTTTCGTATTGCAGAATTATCTGCTCCTGTGAGCAGGAATTGATTGCTACGTCATTTGTTTGTGAGAGTAACGTCATCAATTTTTGAGAAAATTATGCAATTTTCTCACACAAACCAATGACGTAACAATCAATACCTGCTCACAAGAGAAGATAACTCTGCAATACACAAAGACGGAATATGAATATCCATCTCTAGCAACCGTTTTCTAAGGGAGCTGATAGTACCCTTCAGTTCAGATTAACCAGTAGTTTGCAGGGTTTAATACTATTAGTTATTGTGTTTGGTGAGGTTTATGATTAACTCGTAAATAGTAGGAATTAACAGTTACCTGTCATAGAGACACCAATATTAGCCACAAACTTCCCATTCTCATCAAAACTAAAAGATGGTGCTGGTAATTTGACGGGTTGTAAGGCCTCTCCATTTATGACCTGTAACACACAAATCAAATTCAATCCATTGTCAGAAAAAGATTTTTTTTTTAATTTGAAGTTAGAACTCTAAAGTAAATCTTTAATCAATATGACATTCTTTGGAAGGATTGAAAAGCAATCCCTATACAGTACTTTGAAGAATGATGTCCTGAATGAAGTTTTCAAGTACAGGAAAACCTCTGTATAATGCCCCTCGTTTCATTTGTCCCCTTGCTTACCGCCAACATATTTCACCCTACATTTTTTCTCTTTTTCTTAAGAATTCCTTTATACAATTTATAGCCAAATGCCTTGATGCCAAAATTTCTCTGGGCTTATGATGGCAGAATATTACTAGAATATTAGAGTTTTTACTAAATTGTGCGGAAACTAATTTTCTGTTTATAGCAACATGAACTTTTAACCTTTTGACCTGGAAAACCATCCAATGCAAGTACTTTGAGTAAGATTGCCCAGCAAGTTTTGTTTGATTGACCCAAGGGAACTCAAGGTATTGAGAAACCAATCAAGACAGACAGATGAGCGTCAAAACAATATCACCTCCAACTGTCAATACTGGGGACAGCGAAGTGAGCTGAGGGTCACAGAGCGGAACAGCTCTCTACTGATATCATTTGACCTTGTGGGTATAGAATGTCTGTTTTTGTAGGGAGTACTTATACAGACTTGTGTGTGATACATGATCAATGATGAATACTCAAGTCATTATACACATCAAAATCAAAATAATCAACAGTTAAATGCAAATCCAAGATTTTTTTTTCTATTTTTGTATTCAGTTTTTTGTTTGTTATTTGAAGATAATACGGATTACGAAATACAAATTTTGCAAAACCTACAACCCCCTGCTTTACTTCGGGTAACTCTTACCTCCCCGATGCTGACGAGACGTTTAGACTCTATGAGTCGTTCTGCTCGCCGAGGCAGCCAGTTGTTTTCTGGCTGTATCAGGTTGGATCGGTTCAGGATCACTGCACTGTTGTTGGCCCTCAGTCCGTAAAACTTACAGAACTCTGCGGCTTCTGTGTTGTTCTCAAACGCCAGGATCCTCACAAGGTTATCTACTGCAAACTGACATAAGACAACCGGAAACTAGAATTAGTGGTATTTTTAGTTTTGTTTCATAAAATAGGTTTTACAGTATAACATCATGGTCTGATTCGATAAGGTTTAATGAAATACACACTGTTAAACAAGTTTAACCTGAGGCAAAAGGATCCGTAATAATGGTTTGGTTTAGTGTTGTTTAATGTCCTATCAACAGCTATGGTCATTTAAGGATGTTTGCAAGATGCATGCGTGTAGTGTATGCATGTGTGTTTTGGGAGGCTGCGATATGTTCGTGTTTGTCTCCTTGTGGTAGCGCGGAACTGATGCCGACTTTATAGTGCTACCTCACTGAAACATACTGCCGAAGACACCCAGCAGGACACCCCATCCGGTCACATTATACTGACAACAGGTGAACCAGTCGTCCCACTCCTAAATTGCTGAGCATTAAGCAGGAGCAGAAACTACCATTTTAACAGACTCTGGTATGTCTCGGCCAGGGGACAGAACCCAAAGCCTTCCTCACAGGGGCGAACGCTCAACTAAAGGCCAAAAGGGAGGCATTGTCAGGGGAGACATTAGGAAGAAGAAAGCTGTTTAGAAAGAAGAGAAAAGATAAGACCCCAAATTTAGTCGCCTCTTACTATCATGCAATGGGGGCAGCATGTATAATTCTTATGCCCTACCTGCAGGGACACATTTACTGGTAAGTGAACTTAAATTAAGACACCTGATCTGTTGATTACACATCTAATCTCAAGCAGGTCACTCATTCCTGACCACTTCCATATATTTTAGATATATCTTGCAAAAGATGTGTATATCTTTGTATTATATTCTCTATCATAAAATGATACCCAATATTTCTCATGGCAGACATGACTATGGTTTAACATTTCACTATCTGTACCATCCACTGATGATGTCATATTTTATATCTGCTGTTTATAATTTTTACATGTAAACAGTTGTCAGCGGTTTACATATTGTTTACCTGGTGGTCGCCTTTTCCACATGTAAACAGGATTCTCTTTAGTGCTCCACCTCGTACCTGTGTGAAATACCTGTACGACAAAAAGCAAATGTTAGATTGTCAAATCTTTTTTTTCACATCAAATCAGTTGGGGAAGTTCAAATAATCTCACTTTTCTGTAAAATGGTGTTGAGCATCTTGACCCATGTATTAAATATGCATTACGTAATTTATGTAAATGATTTCGGAATTAAGGAGAGTTACTTAAGTATGATCAGAAAACAGACTTACCTGTGCATGATACAGGCATTAAGGTAAGAGGCATCGCGTACAAGTCTGAAGAATCTAACATAGTTGTGGCTGTTGAGAGCGGAATACACCTGGAGAGCGAACCGAATGTGTACCGAGTTCCTGACTTCTGCTCGTAACTGCTGTGTTTCCCTGGTGGCACAGAAACATAACAGATCAAACTAACATTAAAATATCTATAAATGAGAATACTACAAATATTTCTCAATATTTTTAGCCCTGAACAGATTTCATCACTTAGCTTCACCTAGGTACTTGTTTTTAAAGTAAAGAGTCCTAAAACAGATATATACTGTTTATCACATAATGTACCGTGTTATCCAGTGAATATACCCACGTCATATTTTTTTACGTATTAACCCATGTAATATGACCTATCAGCCCTGTGATTGGTTGAAAGTTTCAATTGATTCAATTGTGACGTCACGCCTAGGACGAGTACATGACGTCAAATTGTGACTCGTTTTCATTTCTTATGAAATGGAAACTCATCCAAGATCCTATATATATATCTATGAAATCATGTCTTTCTGTTATTATTGAACTAGCTGTGACTTTGTTAATGAAAGGTCATATTTCATCAGCTATATGCGACATGCATTTCACTGCATAACACATAACTGCATGGAGTAAAAATCTCATAATTCTTAACAATGAACCACAAACTAATTAAGACGATATATTATATGAATAGTAACATTGTTATCTTAACATCAACAGAAATCTCCACACAGCAACTTGTTTCAGCTCTTGATGGGTGTCTTACCTTAGGATGTCTCCCTGGTTCAGGTTCATGAGAATCATATAGGCCCTAATCTCGGCTTCGTTGTGACAGAAGGTGTTGTGTTTCTTCAGTAGGTCGTGGTAAAGCTCTTTCAATGTCTGTAGACATTTCGTCATGTTTTCATTGTTGATTTTCTCATCGAAGGAGTACATGTCTTCTTCGCAGAGTCGTTCGGCACAGAACACATGGAATCGGACACACTTCTCCAGGAGTTCAGCTGTGTTTATGTCACACAACTGCTGTTGAATTATATCCTACAAAAGGTGGTAATTTAAACTGTACAAACATCACATATGACTGACCAGTCACCCGGACGGCCTCACTTCTTCTTCCTTAATAGTACCAGTCAATCTATTCCACAGGAAATCAAACCCGCCACTCCCTGTGTCATCATATTACGTCGCTCAACTTACGAATATCTCTCATGCAATATCAAAGGAAGTGAAACCAGTCACTGCTCTTGCTGTCATATTCAATAGTCACTTTATAAAATACCTCTCAGGCAATTCAAAAAAGAAGTCAAACCGTCACTTCCTTCATCAACACATCATGTTGCTTACCTTATGAATATCTCTCATACGATTTTACAAGAAGTCAAACCGTCACTCCCTTCATCAACACATCATGTTGCTTACCTTATGAATATCTCTCATACGATTTTACAGGAAGTCAAACCGTCACTCCCTTCATCAACACATCATGTTGCTTACCTTATGAATATCTCTCATACGATTTTACAGGAAGTCAAACCGTCACTCCCTTCATCAACACATCATGTTGCTTACCTTATGAATATCTCTCATACGATTTTACAGGAAGTCAAACCGTCACTCCCTTCATCAACACATCATGTTGCTTACCTTATGAATATCTCTCATACGATTTTACAGGAAGTCAAACCGTCACTCCCTTCATCAACACATCATGTTGCTTACCTTATGAATATCTCTCATACGATTTTACAGGAAGTCAAACCGTCACTCCCTTCATCATCACATCATGTTGCTTACCTTACGAATACCTCGCATACGATTTTACAGGAAGTCAAACCGTCACTCCCTTCATCATCACATCAAGTTGCTTACCTTACGAATACCTCGCATACGATTCCACAGGAAGTCGAACCAATCGCCCCATGTCCCATCACTTCCTCTGTTTGCTACCTCATTCAGCAGGTAATTCATAGTGGTTACCAGTACGGATATAGGGCGTAACTCATAGGGCAGTGGCTCCTCCTGGTGTACAAATCAAAAGTAATGTGCATAACTCATGTCCCGTGGACAAAACATCACATCTCAAAATGACGTGCTCAAAATTGACAAAAAAACATATTTCCTGGCAGCGTTTGCCCCGTATTTGAATTCTCATCTTTGGTGTGTGCAGATTTATTGCTCATATAAAGATAAGAAGATGAGATATGAAAGTTTGTTTTCTTCTATCACTACTGATTTTCATTGGGCTCCACTTACAGAAGACTTTATTTCTAGAACGTTCATGAGCATTTAACGTCCTAACTATTGGACCCGATGTTAATTGTAAAATTTTAAAGATGCAAAATGAAGAGAAAATTTTAAAGTTAACTTTTGAAACATATGAAAAGGATAAAAGCTTAATTGGAATTTGAGCCAGAGAAAAGACTTAAACTGACCTGATCTGCTGACGATCGACTGTACTCCTTCACAACTCTCAGGTGGTCCGCTTGGGGGTTCATTCCAGGCTTTAACAAAATATACTTCATAACACACAGGATTCTTTCCAACTAAAATGAGGTTCCTAATTGAACAAATAATTTAATTATCAGACATAGATGTTCCGTAGGACACAATTTTTTTTTTTTTTTTTTTTTAAATCTGAAAGATTTACCGATAAATTTATGTTATACATTTGAATCATCGTAACAAGGACCAGTCCTTGTATTGATTTTTTTTATTAATGACATATTTGAGATTTCTTAAGCATAGATAAGAATATTTTTGACAGTAGGGAACGAAACAAAGACTAAATATAAAACCATATAGATCCACATAGCAGATTCTTACAAACGTTAACACATACAAAGTTTTCATAGAAAAAGTGACAAACAAGAGGTCCATTGGACCTGTATCGCTCACCTGGTTTTATATTTAAGTCATTACAACTGAATGCATTAGTACATCTTTATATGAAATTTCCTCAAATCCAGACAAGATCTATGTTCTAACCCAACACGGACCACAATATCTGACTTTCAACTAATCCGGGGCCTCCATTGAGTTAACAGATTTTGTGATAAGTAATATGTCATATTACAGGATGTAATTAGACAATACTTAAATTTTCATTCAACTATAAGCTTTTATAAACCTAGAAACCAATTTTTAACAATTTATGAAAACAACACCATAGAATATGATAATCTAGCTGTACCATTTCTTAGGACCGCAGGGGTCAAATCAACCTCATTCAATTAAGAAATGTTTGCAGGCAATTAGGGGATATTATTATCTTAAAGCAAAATATTAGATAATTTTCCTCTTTGGGGCCCTGTCTTCCTAGCCCTAGGGGTCGAACCAGTCTCATTTATTAAGGAAATGATTGCTCTCCCCAAATAAAGTTTCAGAGCAAATTTCGTTGAAATCTTCTCTGGCATTTAGGAGATGCGTTTTAAAGCAAATATAGCTAAGTTCCCCTTCAGGGCCCTGCCCCCGTGGCCTCAGGGGTCAAACCAACCTCATTTATTTAAGAAATGATTGCCTATCCCTACTGATGCTTCAGACTAAATTTGGTTGAAATCCTCTCTGGTGTTTAGGAGGAGATATGTTTTAAAGCAAATTTAGCTAAGTTCCCCTTCAGGCCCCCGCCCCCCCTGGCCTCAGGGGTCGAACCAACCTCATTTATTTAAGAAATGGTTGCCCTCTCCTAGTGATGCTTCAGACTAAATTTGGTTGAAATCCTCTATGGCGTTAAGTAGGAGATGCGTTTTAAAGCAAATATAGCTAAGTTCCCCTTCAGGGCCCCGCCCCCGTGGCCTCAGGGGGCGAATCAACCTCATTTATTAAAGAAATGATTGCCTATCCCTACTGATGCTTCAGACTAAATTTGGTTGAAATCCTCTATGGTGTTTAGGAGGAGATGTGTTTTAAAGCAAATTTAGCTAAGTTCCCCTTAAGGGCCCTGCCCCCCTGGCCTCAGGGGTCGAACCAACCTCATTTATTTAAGAAATGATTGCCCTCCCCTAGTGATGCTTCAGACTAAATTTGGTTGAAATCCTCCTAGGCATTTAGGAGGAGATGTGTTTTAAAGAAAAAGTTGACGACTGACGACGGACGACCATGACGACGGAAACAGGACGACAGACGACGGACGCTGCGCCACGGCATAAGCTCACTAGCCCTTCGGGCAGTTAAACTAATAAGGGGTCATGTATTAATAATTCATTCTTTACATAATAAGGAATACATGATTATAGAAATTATTGTAATGCTAGAGCTGCTGATGTCATATTAACCACATCTGAAACTCACGAAGGCTGTTTTTAGCCTGGATTGAAATTTTGAGATCCTGTATTTCATTGATTTTGACCGAATAAGTGAGGGGATTTGGGTGACTGCTCAGTCATATCAAGTGTTGTACAGAACAAGGGAGATAATCGTGTTGCAAGCAGGATCATTCTCACCTGTAATTCGATTCCTTGTAAAATTTCAAGCGGATGAAGGCGTCGCTTCTCTTGCCTGTCGTAGCGTTCCATCTCAGGACACATGTCACGGCAGTTTCCAACAAACGCTCTCGCTGTAGCCAAACTTGGTTGCTTTGTACGACCTGTCAGGATTAAAGTGGAGTAGAGGATAATAATAATAATAATTGGAGGTTCTTAAATACTGCTTTATCAAAACCTAGTTCGTAGGTCGTCTCAAAGCGGTTCACAAATTATTATCCGTGGTTATAGGGCCTTTGTAACCAGCCAATATTTTTCTCAACTCCCTGGTGAACATACAGCCGGAGCTGCCATTTCGGCGCTAACAGCTAGCATTCAACAATTTTAGGGCTGCCCAACCACATACTCATTTAAAGCTGAGTAGACTGGAACAAGTGGAGTAAAGTATCTTGCTCAAAGATACAACACAGTGCCGTGCTGTGACTCAAACCCGCAACCCTTCAGTCACGAGCCCGGCATCTTACCACTAGACTACCGTGCCTCCTGTCAGGATACATACCTCAATGACAACACATCACTTTAGAGATAACAAAAAACTCACAGACTAGAGTATTTGAGAGTGTTTTGCTTAGTGCAGTTTTGAATCCCAACACCATGTCGACTTATGTCAGACCTCCAAACTCTGTTCAGAGGTCAGGTACACATTTCCTTGACGATTGGAGCTGAACTTATACTATCAGTACAGCGGCCCAAATATTACATACTTCATGGACATTAGGGGCTGTTTTAAGTACCATTCAAAATAAAGGAAATCCTACCATGTCTTATAATCTTGTCTCTCAGTTTGAGGATCTGGATCTTGTCTGCCACACTATGTGCAACCGAGTTAGCTAGGGTCCGCAGGGAGTCTGTATCACAAACAAGTACAGTATTAATAAAACATAGACATTCAATAAACACGATAATCACTAGCCGCAGGGAGTCTTTATCAAAGTCACAAACAGGTACAGTATTAACATAGTCACAAAAAGGTACAGTATTAACATAGTCATTAACAGGTACAGTATTAACATAGTCATTAACAGGTACAGTATTAACATTGTCATTAACAGGTACAGTATTAACATAGTCATTAACAGGTACAGTATTAGCATAGTCACTAACAGGTACAGTATTAACATGGTCACAAACAGGTACAGTATTAACATGGTCACAAACAGGTACAGTATTAACATAGTCACAAACAGGTACAGTATTAACATAGTCATTAACAGGTACAGTATTAACATAGTCATTAACAGGTACAGTATTAACATAGTCATTAACAGGTACAGTATTAACATAGTCATTAACAGGTACAGTATTAACATAGTCATTAACAGGTACAGTATTAACATAGTCATTAACAGGTACAGTATTAACATAGTCATTAACAGGTACAGTATTAACATAGTCATTAACAGGTACAGTATTAACATAGTCATTAACAGGTACAGTATTAACATAGTCATTAACAGGTACAGTATTAACATAGTCATTAACAGGTACAGTATTAACATAGTCATTAACAGGTACAGTATTAACATAGTCACTAACAGGTACAGTATTAACATGGTCACAAACAGGTACAGTATTAACATGGTCACAAACAGGTACAGTATTAACATAGTCACAAACAGGTACAGTATTAACATAGTCACAAACAGGTACAGTATTAACATAGTCACAAACAGGTACAGTATTAACATAGTCACAAACAGGTACAGTATTAACATAGTCACAAACAGGTACAGTATTAACATAGTCACAAACAGGTACAGTATTAACATAGTCACAAACAGGTACAGTATTAACATAGTCACAAACAGGTACAGTATTAACATAGTCACAAACAGGTACAGTATTAACATAGTCACAAACAGGTACAGTATTAACATAGTCACAAACAGGTACAGTATTAACATAGTCACAAACAGGTACAGTATTAACATAGTCACAAACAGGTACAGTATTAACATAGTCACAAACAGGTACAGTATTAACATAGTCACAAACAGGTACAGTATTAACATAGTCACAAACAGGTACAGTATTAACATAGTCACAAACAGGTACAGTATTAACATAGTCACAAACAGGTACAGTATTAACATAGTCACAAACAGGTACAGTATTAACATAGTCACAAACAGGTACAGTATTAACATAGTCACAAACAGGTACAGTATTAACATAGTCACAAACAGGTACAGTATTAACATAGTCACAAACAGGTACAGTATTAACATAGTCACAAACAGGTACAGTATTAACATAGTCACAAACAGGTACAGTATTAACATAGTCACAAACAGGTACAGTATTAACATAGTCACAAACAGGTACAGTATTAACATAGTCACAAACAGGTACAGTATTAACATAGTCACAAACAGGTACAGTATTAACATAGTCACAAACAGGTACAGTATTAACATAGTCACAAACAGGTACAGTATTAACATAGTCACAAACAGGTACAGTATTAACATAGTCACAAACAGGTACAGTATTAACATAGTCACAAACAGGTACAGTATTAACATAGTCACAAACAGGTACAGTATTAACATTGTCACAAACAGGTACAGTATTAACATAGTCACAAACAGGTACAGTATTAACATAGTCACAAACAGGTACAGTATTAACATAGTCACAAACAGGTACAGTATTAACATAGTCACAAACAGGTACAGTATTAACATAGTCACAAACAGGTACAGTATTAACATAGTCACAAACAGGTACAGTATTAACATAGTCACAAACAGGTACAGTATTAACATAGTCACAAACAGGTACAGTATTAACATAGTCACAAACAGGTACAGTATTAACATAGTCACAAACAGGTACAGTATTAACATAGTCACAAACAGGTACAGTATTAACATAGTCACAAACAGGTACAGTATTAACATAGTCACAAACAGGTACAGTATTAACATAGTCACTAACAGGTACAGTATTAACATAGTTACAAACAGGTACAGTAATATTAACATAATAATAAGCTTTACAAAGCAAATAAAATGTCAATGTTCTGTTTTCATCTTTACTTTGAAAATAATAAGCATGTAATAAACCTGATACATCTATAACAGAACACTCACATGTATGATGAAAATGATTGACGATTCAATGAGATTTTACATTCATATGAAATAACATAATGGAAAGTATTCAAATCACACAAAATTCATGCTGTAGGCCCTGAAGGTCTAGTTCACATATTTTTCAGATTATTCAGGTTCCAGTTTAGACAGGATGGACAGCTAGCCCTCAATTAATATACAAACAGCAGTGTTTACAGTCCATATTGTACCTTTGCCGATCTTGACGTCTTCGGCAGAAGTTGAGGTTGATGCTGGCGCAGGACTGGTCTGCCTGGTGCGTGTCGCAGGGCTAAGGTTCCGTGTGGGTCGGGTCTGACCTGCTGGACGCTTGACCACCCTGTCAAGTGATCTAGCAACCTCCCTGTTGACGTCTGATGTACCTGCCATACTGCTCAGTTCATCGTCCACCTCGCTCTTTAACCACTTTGATGTCTGAGGAGGTCTGCCTCTGTCAGCATCTTTCAATATAATCAGCCACAAAGAATATTTATTTACAGCAAAACCTAGGATCTACATTTTACATATTTATAGCAAAGTATAAAATATTTATGTTTACAGCAAACACAGTATTTGAATACATATATTATATATATAATCACAGCTATTACAGTATCTCTGTTCATCCTGTTGTAAATACATTATCTATGCATAAAGCAAATATGGTTTTTAATGCATAGTTACTGAAATTAAATTATTTTTCTCTTTAGGAAAAAAGAACTAAAAATTTTGCATTCCCAGAGTGCAATCATCAAACTTTCCTAAATTTGTTTTCTACCTGAGGCTCGCCGTTTCCCAGGGTCTCCTGCCCTGCCAGTTGATTCCTCCTTCTGTTTTTGCCCCCCAGGGGAGGTAACACTATGTCGACCCCAGAAGATCTCCATTGGATTCATGTCGGCATCTATCTTACTGCCATGGCGTTTAGCACTGGCTGCTTCGTCCTGTCATTACAGTACAACCTTCATATGTCAGAGATGTTGTGATTGATATCAACAAGGAAACTGACATCTTGTTAAGAATACTGTAAACCTTGTTATACTGCCACCAATTGTCTCGCAAAAGTTTCGGCATTATAAAGGAGTTTGGCAATATTTTTAGGTATACCTCAGGAAAGAGGGATTTTGAATTATGTATCAAACAAGGGGCAGCATGGCGAGGCTAGATCACTGTTCAGTTAAGTAAACTAACATGGGACTTGAAAGTGTTAGAGTGGTTGTAACCAAAGATCATACAGTATTAAAACTTTGGGATGAGGACACCCTCCTCTTATCATCCCTATAACTACTAGTTCAGAAAAAGTGACTTTTCCAGTTTTCTCTAGACCACCATGAGTAACGACTAAGAATATCAGAACATTTTGCAATTTTTTTTTTTGTAGAAGGTACAAAATTGTAACTCACCTCAAATTACTATTTTTGTAAAGGCTGGTACAAGTACATAAATATAAAGGTAAATCGTACCTTGGTCAATTGAATTGTTTCGGTAGGGTAGGGTACATAAACATATCATAATATACGTAACTTGCCAGAAAATACTGCTTTGCTAAGATAAATCATACCTTGATCAGTTGAAATGTTTTTGTAGAGGGGTACATATAATACATAAAGTAAACTGTAACTTGTCTCTGTGAATACAGATGGTAATCAAAACTTGTACTAAACTTACATGAGTACTGAAATGAATCGTAGCCTGCTGCCTTTTGGGATTTGGGAAGGTACGTTTCACCTCGCCGAACTTGCAGAAGTGACTCCTCAAATTCCTGGCATTGTTGTATTTCGCTGGCACATTCTTACACACAATCACTATCTTGTCAGACAGGTCGCCAGACACTGACGATAGTCGGCGTATCGTAGTTCTTTTTGCCCTTGGCGCTTCATCTGGCGTGGAAACAAATTCCATGTAAAAAATTGTTTAGAAAGCAGACCCTAGTTCATGCAGACGAAATTTCAAGTTACTTATATCATCCTGTTGATGTTATCTGTATTGACCTAGAAGCGATTCATAAATTATATGTCTGTTACCAGTTTGTTTATATGGATCATCAAAAAGGTCATTTCAACCACATCGGTAATCAAGTCAGTTATTGAGAAAGGCGACTTAAGATCATAGGAGTGTATTGATAAACCGAAATAGGAAGTACATCCCTAGTTGAATATCCAATGTAGGGAGACAGTATCACAATTTCCGCATATTCTAATGTTTAATATTAAACTGATGAATATTGTGTGTTTATTATTGACAGAACAGTGTGTTCTCTCAATATTTAAGTATTTCAAAGCAATCCAGGCATTAGTTCAGTTGTTTTTTATCAATGAGTCACATGTGTCCATTTTTCTGTACTTCAGGACACTGGCTACCTATTTCACTACTGTGAAGTTTTTCAGGACAGATAACTCTTACATGCAATAACTATGTGTATATGGTTTTATTATAAAATGTCAATTTTTAATCGTTTATAGATAATTAATTTTACACAATTTTAGCATTTATTTAATTGATATACATTAATGCAATACTAATCTATGGCACTATCATTTTTATTGACATTATTTTGCAAAAACTTGTGTCTTTCATTTTTTTTTTAAATTCACTCCTTTTTACATAAATTTCCATTTAAAATCCTTGGAATTCTGACAACCTATAGTTTTTTTGTGGCAGAAAATTTTCTTAACTCCAAAGCAATATAACTACAAAATTTGAAGAAATTCTACTGAGAAATGGTGACACAATCCTATAACCTTAATCAGTAAAGACAACGGCAGCTCATGATTAAATTGGATAAGCCCATCCACTAACAAGCCTACCCTTAGATAAACATATGTTATAGATGGTCACATATTTCAAAAAAAAAAAGATTTATGCACTTTCTATTCAGTGCTCCCAATAGTATAATGTGTAAAAACCTGACTGTGAGAAGTTGAATTTTTGTTTATTTTAAAAGTTTGAAATATTTTACTTCATCAGATATTAGAAAATCATATATATGCAAATACCAGTTTTGAAGAAAAGGGCCTATGAAAATATACATGTATTGGATGGGAGCTGCCTGGGTTGAAGGATCCATAAAGCAAGTTCACTGTTCTGTCAATCATTAAACACTGCTGCAAAACCCCATATACAATATTATCATCAGATATATATTGAAGTGAATATATTTTTAAAATACCTGTATCGTCACTTGTTTTCCTTCCTAACTTGCGTGTGTCACTTGTGCCACTTTTGCCAAATACACCCTGGCTTTGATTATCTACAAATTCAAGGTGTTTTTTTTATATACATTTCAAATTATCCTCAACATTTTCATTTTCAGCACTAATGACAAGAAGTCAAGTAACAATCAGACTAAGTAGATAAATCAGAATCATGCAATTCTTTCCACCAAAATGTTTATATTGAATACCAACTGTTATTAAAAAAACAAAGATACATCTTTGATTACTTTTTTTCTTTAGAGATCAATGGCTGTCAAAATAAAAAAAAATAAAAAATTACAAACACAGGATAAGTAATAATCTTTTCTTATCCACAAGCTTACTTTTCCAGTGAAGGAGGAACCTGGCCACAATTACCTGTTTTACCGAAGAGTTGTTTGGAGGATGAAGAGCCCCTAGCAGAAACATCTGTACCACTCCGACTCTGGCTAGCTGCTTTTGGAGCCCCAAACAGCCCTTGCTCCTGTGGTCCCCCAGATGTCCCTCTAGATGTCCCTTGTGTATCCACTCCAGCTTAATACAGATTTAAACAGTTTATCACACAATTTGAAACATGTTTTTCTTTTATGGTTACTTGCTGATGAAATAGAAGTGTCTGCCAAAAAAGGATTATGATATTGTGTTCATTAATAAAGGGCACTCTCTCTACTGGACACTTCGGAGACCACATAATTTAGTCAGTTTGCAGAGCTCTGGATTGTAAAGAGTCTGCTTGTAACACCTTGCTCTTGTTGGAACCAAATTCTCTAGTCATTTTAGACAAAAAAACTCGACTGGACAGAGTCCTTAAAGAGAGTATTTTAAAATTTTAAAATTTAACAGACTTTAAATTACAAGATTTTAGGTGGCACCCATAATTGAGGTCTCAAATTCAAGTTTCTAAGAGGCTGTAATTCTCCGACCATCAAGTCAGAAAAAATACACATTGAAATGAATGGTATCTGAAGCTATGATGAATTTAATAAAACACGGCCTTTAGGTTTCTGTACGTTTAAAAATGTTTTAAACACACATATATACAGCCTTCAAATACCATGGGCATTTTTTATAATCATGAAAGAATTACTGTTTGACTGTGTTGTCTTGGTGACGAATGTTGTTTTCGGAGGGTGCAGCTGTTGTGCGATGTCCCCAGTCACACCCACAAACGTTGCAGGGTTGATTGTACTTCCTGTCTGGGGTTTACCGCCGAACAAGGAACCGGCACTTGTCATGGAAGTACCTCCAAATACGCTGGTTGTACTAGTCCCACCAAAGAGGCTAGCTGTGGATCCAGCATCTGTAAAATACATGACATGTCATACATGTATCCCTTCTTACGTGAAATTTACTTAAAAACAATTGATCAAAACAAATTTTAAATTCACAAATTTTCATCATCCAAAAATATAATTTACATTTGAAACTTAAAGAGTTGCACTACTTACAATTATACATGTATTCACATAATTATCAGAGGGGTTAACGTTGTGGTGTGTTATGGTGAAATATTAAATAAAGCGATAAAATTCAGTAATATTGTGAGATATTTGACAATGTGACATTTTTAGTGTGAGGTTAAATACCTTGACCTTTTTGCCCAGAAGCTGTTTGTCCCTGTGCAGTTGTTACTGTACCAAATCCTGTCGAACTCCCAAACACTGAGGTAGTCTGACCGCCAAATACAGTTGAACTAGACTTTTCTGCGCCAGCAAATGTTGAACTACCTTGCTGGCTAGTGCCACCAAATGTTGAAGCACCTTGACCTGCGGCTCCAAATGATGAACTACCCTGGCCAGTGCCTCCAAATGTTGAACTACCCTGACCAGCGCCTCCAAATGTTGAACCAACCTGACCAGCGCCTCCAAATGTTGAACCAACCTGACCAGTGCCTCCAAATGTTGAACTACCCTGACCAGCACCTCCAAATGATGAACTACCCTGGCCAGCACCTCCAAATGATGAACTACCCTGGCCAGCTCCTCCCAGTGTTGAACCACCCTGGCCAGTGCCTCCAAATGTTGAACCACCCTGGCCAGTGCCTCCAAATACTTGACCACTAGTGCTCTGACCAATGCTACTGAATGTTGAACCACCCTGGCCAGCACCTCCAAATGTTGAACCACCCTGGCCAGTGCCTCCAAATACTTGACCACTAGTGCTCTGGCCAGTACCACCAAATGCTAAACTGGCCTTGTCAGTGCCACCAAAGTTTGAACTGCCCTGGGCCATAGAACCACTCTGTCCAGCAGTACCAAATACTAAACTGCCCTGCCCAGCAGCACCAAATGCAGAGGTGGTTTGATTGGAACTAGCAACCATAGATGAACTAGTGCCCTGTCCAATGCCACCAAAAGCTGATGAGGCCGTTTGACTTGTACCACTAAATGCTGAAGTTGATCCTGAACCACCAAAATTTGTTGAAGAGTTTACACCACCGAATGCTTGTGAACCAGTCTGTCCTGCACCACCAAACGCAGACGATGATGTTGTTACACTACCAAAACCTGATGTACTTGTTTTCTGCCCTGAACCAAAAGCTGGTGAATGGGTTGTTGTACCAGTCCCAAAGGCAGCTGTTCCAGCAAATGTTGATGGGCTAGAATATGTGGTCACACCAAATCCATGGGTCTGACCAAACCCTGAAGAACTTGCAGTTGTTGCACTTCCAAACGTAGATGATCCCTGTAAACTAAATGGTGCTGCATTAGCAACTGTACCAAACAATGAAGGCGAACCACCAAATGTTGATGAACTTGTAGTTGCACCAAACACTGGTGGTGAACCTCCGAATGCTGAGGAACTTGTTGTTGGACCAAACACTGAAGTGGACTGCATTGCATTTACAAATCCTGTCTGTGCTTGTCCAGCTGAACCAAATACTGACTGGTTTGTGACTCCAAATGATGATTGTCCAGTTGTGCCAAAGCCAGAGGCTTGCTGTCCAGTACTTAAGGACTGCTGGCTTTGTCCAGTTGCTCCCTGTCCGAAAGCTGACCCAGCACCAGACTGACCAAACCCAGCTTCTTGGCCAAACATACTGCTTATGTTTCACTTGGTTTATTGACAATGTTGCATGTTGGATTCCATCCAGGCTATTGGGAAACAAAATAATGGCATTTAAGATCTTCAATAGCATGGTCCTTTAATTATGAATGTTAAATTTCACATGTACAAAGGACTAAAAAAAAAACTTATTCATAATCAAGTTTCATTTTAAAAAGAGACCAATGTGACCAGTTAATTTCTAGGTTGTGATGTACCATGGCCATAAATCATTAATCTTAATTTGATATTGCGAGGGATGTAATAATAACTATAATGTGCTTTTATAATAAGGAGGTACAATTTGGTCAATGCAGTAAAATCAGGTATGACAATAAGAATTTAACTTTGATAATTTTGTAAGACTTAATCCCAAAACAAGAAATTTACAGGATGACAAAGCAAGCGAATGGATGAATGTAATTATAAAACGTGGCATCGGGTGACTGCATGGTTATTTCATTTCAACCATGTGGGTATCTTTTGGTTAAGCGCTTCAATGTAAAGTGAAATGGCTGCATATAGACCCACCAATTTTAGCTACATTTTTGTATTTCATACCACCATTTAATGATCCAGTGTGATGATCATGCAAATTTAAATCTTGCCTTCATCTATTTAGTATTTATACACTCTTGTGGTATGTCATATATATAGTACATTTTGTTTGTGGCAAGTAATGATTTAATATGTTATGGGAATGAATAATATTTTAAAAATTTATGTGTATTGGTCTACTGAATTAACCTCAAATAGAAATCCTTGCTTTAATCGTTTTATCATTATGTGATACCACAGGAACACACAATATACCAATAAATTCTTTCACAGTTTTCAAACACCTCTCTCATTATGGCCTATTATTGAAAGAAGTAGCAAGTTTAAGTGATTCAGATCATATTCTTTCTCATCTTTCCAGATGGAGGGCTCACAGCCAAGTGGTTAAAGTGTAATATAGGACGAGGAATAGTGATAAAGATAGTACTGCAGTCACTGGGCCTCAAATCCGCGACCCTTGACTCTCCAGCTCGCTGCTCTACCGCTGAGCTAAAGGGAAATTCCCGACAGCTGACGCTTGTAAGGCAACCTAATCAATGCACATCTTTTACAAAGGCGTCTGAAATTCTACCCCTAGCCTTCCAACACTGGGTTGCAGCATCCTTAAATGACCAGAGCTGTTAATAGGACGTAAAACATAAACAAACCAACCATCTCGCCCTCCCCCGCCCCC